GGGCCACCTGCATGATCCGGGGACAACAGGGTAGACCCTACAATGAGAGACTGCGGGACCTGAACCTGGTCAGCCTTCACAAGAGAAGGCTGAGGGGGGACTTGGTGACCGTCTATAAACTCACTAGGGGGGACCGGAAGGGTTTGGGGGAGACCTTGTTTCCCCTTGCGCCCCCTGGTATAACAAGGAATAACGGCCATAAGTTGTTTGAGAATAGGTTTAGATTAGACATCTGTAAGAACTACTTCACACTTAGGGCGGCTAGGATCTGGAACCAACTTCCAAGGGAAGTGGTGCTGGCTCCTACCCTGGGGGTCTTTAAGAAGAGGCTTGATGCCTACCTGACTGGAGTCATTTGAGCCCAGTTTTTCCCCTGCCCAGGCAGGGGGTCGGACTTGAAGTTCTACATGGTCCCTTCCAACCCTACTTCTATGATTCTATGATAATAACCCCTTTTTGTTATTTCATGTGCCACATGAAGATGTTGTCACATAACTGTAAGGGTTTAAATCTGCTCTCACATACACCTGTTTTATGCCAGTGTTGATTTCAGTGGAGTTTTTCCTGACTGATGCCAGTTAAAACCCCAATTTAGGTAAGAGGTGAAGCAGACCCCAGAGTATTTTGCTCAGGACAACAAACAGTGATGAGCTCACCTAGTTCTATCATCTTTATTTCCTCCTGATGCATAAGTTGTAGTGCCTCTGCTCATTAGGTCATTATTCAGGATCCTGCTAAGCAAACACAAGGTTATCTGTAGGTGAAAGTACTCAGGTCTCTTAAATTGCTCCTGTTCCTGCAGTTCTCTGCATTTCACCACCATGCTACAGTGACGTTACTGTGGAGAGCCCCATTGCATTGACAGCACTGAGAGGAACTGTGCCTCAGGAAGGCACAATCTGGAGGGTGCATTGACACCACAACAACCAAGTGCCCTGTTACATTGCCAAAGCAATAAGCCCCGTCTATCCACTTCTGCTCTGTGAGCACTGAACCCAGAAAAATGAAGTGATGAAGATGTCCTCTGGGTGCTGCAAGCTGCTGCTCTTGAGAACGCTGGAAACCCAGGCCTGAGGACAGTGCCTGGGTGGTCCTCGTTGCCCATTTCTAGGGTTGATGTACATGGCCTGTGGGTAGGCACATGGCCATCATTTCCGTGGCAGTATAACTGAGTCCCTTGCCACTGTGGTTATGCTATACCCTATACATCTCCCAAGTGTGCAGAAGAAATGTGCCTAATGCTACACACTTTTGAGAGGATGCAGTGTGAACTGTCCTTTGTAGTCGCCAGCTCTGCTAAAGCATATGCAGTGGTGAGAAGTGAGGCCCCATCTTTTCCCTACCCCTGCCTGGCTGTAGGTAATGCCCCAAGGAGCCTTAGCAGGTAGCAACCCTTGCACTCAGAAGAATGCAGGGAATGTGACTGTGGCTGGCCCTGGCACTGAGAATGCATGGGTTGGAGAAACTCCTTGTGCTCTCCCTATCTTATGTACATCAGTGCAAGGGCCAGCCACAGCCCCAAGTAGCCCTTGATTTTGCACTGATTAACTCTGAAAATGCTGCAGCCAAGATAGCATATAAAATGATATGGAGAAACTTACACCTGAAGTTTCCAGAGAAGTGACAGACTCCCTCCCCTGCCCTCTTTTGCGTCTGTTCCTGTCTGTCTCTTCCTATCCCTTTCTCAGGATCACATCACACAGTAAGTCTGTAGGCCTAGCAATGTGCATTTCCTCCCCAAGAAATGTCAAACATCTGTGTGCTGAGAGCTGCTGGATGTAAAACTTTCTCGCTGACTCCGGCTGAACTGGCAGAAGCTCGCGGCTCGGTTCCTTCTAACTTTCGTTTCACTCTTGCTTCTGTGCCTGTCCCGTGTGATGTAGTTCTCAATCAGTTTCAGTTTTTCATGCTCTTCCTTCAGGAAGAAATCCACAAGAACACTCTTCTCCTTTTTGATTTGCTCACTGATATCCTTGGGAATGTCAGGAATCATCCAGTCTACCAGAACGCTGAGAAACATGACCAGGTTCTGAAACAAGAGCATGAGAGTTTGACCAACAGAGCAAGGGCCAGTAAGACAGGCTATACCAGGTGGGGAGGACTGCAGTGGCAGAAAGGTGAAGGTGTCCCCCTGTAACTCCAGAGACACAAGTTGAAGCCCTGCTTTGGATTTGTGTCAAAGGCTACTCCCAGTTGAGCCAGGTGTAAATAGATACCAGGTCACCTGGGCTGGGGAATCAACAGAAATTGGTGTGCCTTACCCAATGGGCTGCCAGGCTCAAGTGGACCTTGACGTATCATAAAATCAAACCTCTGCTTACATGACTGTTAGAAATGAGCCAAGAGACATGCAGCCATGTGAACGTGTCATTTTAAAGCTTTGTTTATATTTTGAAACTCCAGTGGCTGAAGGCACCTAAAAAAGGTCCCCATATGGGAAATCAATTAAAACACAAGCTTAATTTCTGCTCAGGACAAGAGATGTGTTAAACACATGCTTACGTGGCATCCTAAAAAGGGATGCACATAAGCTCATGTTTAGCTCTTGAGGGCCGTGTCTACACGTACATATTAATGTGCAACAATAAACTCCAGGGCTTATTGCTCCAGAGTTTATTGCTCCCAGGTGCATGTCTGTATGTGCACTTGGGATCTCAGCATCTTGAGCCAGATCAGAGCAGCCCCAGCTGACAGGGGATCCCCGGGGTCCCCCAGCTCAACGTGGTGTGGAGGGTTGGCTAGGGCACGAAGGTGCTTCAGTATGGGGCTAGCCGGTAAGCAGCCCTGACACTGAAGCACCCTTGTGCCCTGGTCAGCAGGTCAGTGTCTACACGTGCACTGCTGTGGAGTAAAAAATTCCACAGCAGGATAGTACTTGTATTTACAAGTACCATCTTGCTGTGGAGTAAATTAGTTTACTCCAGCCCAATAGGGGTGCACGCGTAGATGTGCAACATTTACTGTGCAGTAAATGTCTCATGGTGACACATCCTAGATGAATCAAGTAGTGTTGGGGTGATATTGTAGCCATGATGGTCCAAGAAAATTGTGAGAAGCAAGGATATCTGTGGGGGCCCAAGTGGCCCTGAAGATTTGCAAAGGAGCTGAGCATCTAATAACTGGGCTGGTGGAACACAAAGTCCTGCAGCTCAAAAAGAAGCATCCAGAACAAGTACAAGCATCCTCCATGCACTATCCCACAAAAGTACTCCAACTGTGGCCTGAAAAAAACACTTCTAGATGCAGACAGGGTTCTTTTTTCTTCCTTTCTTTCTTTTTTCTTTTGGCTTGTTCCCTCCTCAGTTTCTTTCCTAACAAGAAGGGTTTTGTGACAGGATGGGGGTGCACACAGACCAGAACCTGGAATTTCAAATGTCAGGGACATGCATATCAACAGGCTTTATAGTGCACAGGCAGGAAGAATTGGAAACTGATAGGAAGAACTAAATGCAGCATAATGTGATGACATGAGGAATGTGTCTATGTACAATGTATGAGTTCTGGTTCATGTTATGAAGTTGTTACTATGAAAATGGTTGCATCCTGGAATACCTCAATGTGTAGCAATTTTTGCTGTAAAGGTCTGTTACCATATGCCCACCAGCCTAGGGACAATTGAGGATAGTTAACCTTTATGATTGTACCCTGAGCAAACAACTGGTATGCTAATTGTCTAGTTGTAGCCTTGAATTGCCAGTTTCCTCCAAATATCTCTGCAGGGAACTGGAGTTTGGAGTTGTGGACAATTACCAAGTGAAAAATAAAGAATACAGTTATTGGAAGAGGGGCCTAGGAGCTAGGGAAGGCTTACAGCGACTCAGAAAGGAAGCTCTAGGGACAAGAAAAAGAAAGATTTGGGTCAGTGAAGGAAAGATATAGACAGTCCCCTTCAGGGCAGGGATGGCCTTGGTCTGTGGAACCAAAGTACCATGGTTCAGAAAACAAGACATGAACTTGAGAAGAAGCATACCAGCCTGGAGAATGCTGTAGGAGAATGATGAGAGAAGGAAAATTATGTGGGGTTTATTATGTCCACATCTATGTAGTCTTATGATACTGTACTAAGTAAAGCATGGATGTCAACCTTACTTAGTCCTGTGAGTGCTGCATGTAGCATGGCCCTGCTCCAGCCACTACAGAGCTATGCTGCACAAAGCAGCTGCTCTGGGGCCATGGAGCTGTGCTGCATGTGGTCACTGCTCCACTGCTCTGGGACCATACTGGCAGATGGCGGCCACTCCACTGCTTTTGGGCTGCACTGCACTGCACACAGCAGCTGCTCTGTGCTATGCCGCTAAATCTGGCATGGAACCAATGTGTCCTAGAGCATGCACCACATGCAGCATGATCCCAGAGTGGCTGGAATTGGGTGCCATATACAGTGCAGGGGACTGTCTGGCATACCCTGCATGCTGCCTGTGGGTCAGGTCTGAGACCCCAGGCAACACTGGGGGCTAGATGATAGGGCTCTACAGGCCAGATGTGGCCCATAGGCCATATCTCTGACACCCCTAAAGTGAAGGATAATAGTGTTTTAGAGTCCTGTACAAAGTCTCTGAATTGTTACATATTATTCTTTTCATTTGTCTCTGAAGACCTGGAGTTCTGGGAAAGCGTGTATATAAATGACTGAAGATCAGAATTAGTCCTGGAGGCTTGAGATAGGCCTTTTCTGTAAATAGGTACAGATGGGGTGCCTATGACTAGGAAGACTAACAGACAGCCTAGAGGTATAAGCTAGGGTGACCACACATCCCTAAACGGGTGGGACAGTCCTGAAATATGAACATCAGGTCCTAGGACAGCATTTCTCCCAGATTCCCAGTATTGTGCAGAGATCTGGGTTTTCTGTTCACCATGGAAAAAATCAGGAAACAGTGGGTTTCCCTTTACAGGTTGGCAGAGTTCCAGCCTGTAAGGGGCAGCTTTGGGTTGTGCAGAGTGGGATGCAGGGGGCATCACATGCATGTGCACATGTGCACATATGCATATGGCCTGGAATACAATGAGGCAGTGGTTGAGAGCAGCTCCCTGCAGATAAGTCTATGAGGGAGAGAGGGCATAGGGGGAGTAGAGGGGGCAGATGGAAGCCCCCATGGTGAAGGGCTGGGGGTGCTGCCAAGCTGGGGTTGTGTCTGGGGCCCTGGGCAGGAATAAGTGGCCATGCAACCAGCCGGGGAGCAGGATGGAGGCATGGGTGACTCATCTGGGGAGCAGCAGGGGGGCTGGCTCTCCACCTCTGTGTGCATTCCTGGGGGGGGAGCAAAGGAGGGCACATGCCCCTCCAGATTTGTGTGTGGGGTAGAGGAAGATGCTGGCTGCCTGCTGTTGACTCAGGGCCCCCCATCCTGCTGCACTTTCCTCAGGGCCCCTGTGGATCAGCAGGCAGGACCCAGCATGGGAGGGCTGGAAAGGGCGTGGAGGCTTTGTCCTGCAGCCAGGAGCCCCACACCAGCCATGCTGCATGGCAAGGCACCCCCTGACTGTTTGGCAGTAGCGGGGGTTGCAGTGGTGTCATGCAGTTGTGTCTCCCGTTGCTGCCAGCTGGGAAGAGGGTGCCTCACCATGGCAGTGTGGCCAGCATGGGACTCCCAGGGGGAGGGCAGCAGAGCAGGGAGGGAGCCCTGAGCCCACAGTGGGCAGCCCACTTCTTCCCCTACCCCACATGGGCTCCACTCAGCTCTGCTCTGGCTGTGCTTTTGGG